AGTAAAGTATTAAGATAGTGAACGAGTCTTAGCGCATCCGTTAGATACTGCCTCTACTCGGCGCAGCATTAAGCAGCATTGCATGATTTAGGTAACTGAACATCCATGATCCAGTATGTGTTCAAATGAACATTTGACTGTTTGAATAAATGAATTTGCCGTTAACTTAACCCCATTCGTAACTCAGTAAACCCGTACGTTCTAAGGAAAGTTCATTCGTAGTAGGGCACTGTATACGAGTGAGTGGTAAGTCGATCCACTCCCAGTGAAACATAGATGACCACTCTCAGTTGATTGTCTTATCTCCCTTACAATGTTCGCTAAGTATTGTGCAGTTCTGAAAAAATGTGGTTAGCACAAACGAAATTTTATTGATATGAAATTTTGCTGGTGTTTGCTTACCAGATAGAATCAAACACTATGTGTGGAACGTCTGTTCCTAACCGTACTCAACCACCCTGCTCACGTGGACCAGTTTTTACAGTTCTTAAGTTTCTTGTGTTTTTCTATTGATAGTTCATGCACAACTGAACATGTTGACACCAGTAGGCAGGATATCTGTCCTGGCGGTAGTTTCAGTTGATCATTCAGTGTCATTAGATACTTTGAACCGGTCATGGTTCCGTCAATGAAAACCCACCCATTCTTCCAATCAAGCACAATAGCTCTCAACACCATAAAACCCACTACATTGTAATGTCAACGCTCTCTCGGTCCATCTCTGTCCATCCGCATCCGAAATCTTGCATTGTCACTCCGTATCATTATATTTCAATACAACGGCACTGATGCATCGCCCAACTCGAGGCAGGCCTTTCGACGAAACCCGGTCAACTAGGGAATGTTCACCGCTACGACGCAGTTATTCAACACCCATCCCGGTGTAGGTTCTGAACCGGGAGGAGAGCATTCTAGTTGTAACGATGATGAGGTTGAAAGTGAATCTTCCGTGAGCATGGAAATATTTTTTAGTGTAGGGTCTTGGTCTCTCTGTATCGTGTTACCCATTTGGAAACTACAGGCCTTGATTTGTCAAATCCGTTAACTATCCAAACAGCGGACGTCCCATCGACCTAACTTATAGTGTGATGCCTTTTTACAATCATTTGGAACAGAAATGATGTGAATACCGAATGCTAACGTTTTACAACTATGATTGGAAGTCATCTGACTTAATTCCCAAATGTGAATGAAGATCAATTGAGTACATGTAGATCATGTAAATCAGGCTACCCGGTGGTATCTCGTTGTACATTCGGACACGTAAACACAGCCAGAACGGTTGTGCCTAATTCGTTCTGATAGAATTGAGTTCTCACTTTCTTTTGACTAACAATGCGATTTATCAGTGCTCACAGAGACCTGTCTTCTTTCGGACCGCTGAAAGTCTTTTATTGATCATCTTCCGACACCTCCGCTGTAGGATTAGTTATACGGCAAATGAAAGATAAAGATGTAGTATAAATGCCAACGCATCTAGTATTCAATTTGATATTCCATATGCTTTTCGTCTTATATCTTGATTTTAATAGGCATCCGAGTTACTACGTTGATAAATTTTCCAACCTTTCCAGCCTATTGATTGAACAATAAAAGAACTGAGGATCGTACGTGAAGGTGGTAGGCAGCTTTGCTGTTTTCCCGTTCAATACCAAACTCAAACTTATGTGGTTCGCCACTCCAAGTCCCGGGGCTTAGGTCACCGGTTTCCACGACGGAGCAGCAGGTCTTCGTGACTATGGGGTTCGCCCCGTCTGCTGTTCACCACACAGATGTGTATAATAAAAAAAGATGAAGTTTGAAGAGTGGCCAGTTCAGATCATTATCGATTATCCCACACCACTACTCACAAGTAATTGTGATGCAAATGTGAACTGAAAACCCAGCCTGCATCGAAAAATTGATTTGGCGGCAGGCTTTNTGGAGCTAACAAATAGTAAACCGTGTCTCCCTTCGTTGCTGTCGGGCCAAAGTGAACTGACTGATTATCGCCGAAGACGACGCTTGGATGAGACAGTGAATACCTACTATTGGTGAGCTATAATAAGAGCGAAACTCGCGTCTACAGTGCGTCCTGAGTCTATGGTTGACTAAGTTAATTGAGGATTGCACGTGAAGTTGAAGTTAGAAGGATGGTCAGGTCACAGCAGCAATAAAAGAGCGCTGAATATTAATGTTTTTTTCTTGAATTATCGGTTATTTGCATGTCGAACTTCAAGTATTATTTATCGACGTGACACTAGTCAGGAGAATCTATGTTGAGTGGAAATAATTCAGTTTTTTTTCAAGTGTTTTCATAATGGTTTACTCCGCATATTGTACATTCCAGGCAAAATAACATACATCTGTTTGTCTAGCCTTATTGCAGTGGGATATCCGTTATGGATACTGATTAGTGGCAGTTTGTGTTTCTAAACCATTTCAAAAACAACATAATTTGACTCCCATCCAATCACTCATTATGATAGCGACGGTTTGTTGCATGTTCGTCAACCCAGAACAAGTTGGTTGAAGGACGCCACATGCGGTCAGTCCGCCAACAGGGGTCATTCGGTCCGGTGGCTTTGTTAGGTGCACACAGCACAACACAGGACCAAACACATCAGACAAACAAACGGGAATCTGGCGCGTCAGACAGATTAATGTCACCCCCCATGTCGGGCGTCTATGGCCCAGCTGTGTGCCTTGTGCGCTGTCCGATGTGCTATTAGACTTGTGACTCACTTCACGAGAGAAAATGAGTCAGATTGCTCGTCAATGACAGGCGGTCATTGTTTTGAGGTCAATAGGGCCGCTCGTTTACGAACGCGTGCCATGCACAAGCGCGCGAATGCGTACGCACATACGCAAGTGCGGACGTAGTTCTTTTGCTAGCGAATCAAACTGAAGCGCTCACGTGCGCGCACGTGCGTGGTTGGCGGAACATGTCAAGGTTATTTGTGCGGTCTGTGACTGGCTGATCGAGTGGCTAATGAATGTGTAAAGCTTCTGAACCGCTTCATAATTTGTTTTGTTTTCTCGCGAAATGACGTGCTGTATGGCCGGTTCGCCTTATGTATCCTGTGGAAAGCTTTGCGAACCTGAAGTGGACCCGTCCACTGCTCAGTTTGTTTTGTTCGCTTCTATGCAGAAGCTGGATCAAGCCAGACGGTCTCGTGGTGGTATCCGGCTACATCAAGGCCTCTTGATTGCTGTAACCGCACTCAAGGCTCGTCAGTTATTGTGGCAACAGAGCAATTATTTTCATAATCCATTGCAACTGGATCCAGTTAAACCCATACCATCTCCGCAGCCGTCTTCAACACCAGAATCCCAGTCTCCTTTGCCTGTGAGCTCGAACATAACGCTAGGCACACAAAGCGATCCGGTTGTACTGTCCTGTGAAACCGTCCCTCCTATTGCAAACCCAGTATGGCCTCCACTCAGTACCGAGGATTACTTTTCATTTCCTAAAACACATCAAGACCAAGAAATGACTGACGATGATACGGAATCCGCCGTCGACCCGAATGATGACTCAGACTGTCCCCTGGACTCCGTGCGCAACCTATGCTTTGCCTCGGACCCAGTGATCCCTTCCAGTAATAGTAAGTTGTGCTCTGTAATAAAACCAAATCCATGTTTGTCAGGCCATAGTTATTTTTTATTTATTGAGCACAGTCAACAGAAAATGTTTGATATTCTTTCCCTCCTTTTCGTGTTATGTTCTTAAAGCTCATGACTACTTTGGCGATGTCTTAGTGAAGATTGGCATTGTGTTGTAAGAGAGCTTTATGCTGATAACTTTCTATTCATTTGTCATCGGCCGGGGGATAATTTATATCTTCCAGAGAGTTCCGTGGGAATAATGTACAAAGCAAATTTCCCAGCTCGTCAGGACTGTTTTAGCACTCGATCGCTCGATCCGGAGTCGGAAGTCAGCTCGCGACACATTTGATCTTTGTTCAAACGAAGAAAAAATGTTATTCTCTTGACCCACTGTAGTCCAGCAGGGCAACCGAAGACCTGGCATAAGGGTATGAAAACCCTGACCAGAAGGCTGGCTCACATAGGTCCCGTTAGGCTCCCTGTCTNTCATTATTCTTGTAACTTCAGTCTATGAAAATGTGCTATCTTCCGCTTGAATCTGCTCTCAACATTCTAATCATCATTCTACTGTTTTGTCCAAATGGGCAACCAAAATTGAGCACGAAAGTGCATGGCTAATAGTTGTAAGAACTGAACCCACTGTAGTTGCTTGCCGTCTATGCATTCTTATACAACAGCAGGTCCACTACGAAGCGTCGACGGCTTACTTCTCACTTCGTTCGTCTGTCCTTTAGATACATGAAACAAACTAAATAGATTGTTAGTCAATAGGATTCTATTTAGCTTCGGAATAGACGAAATACTAGAGATGATCTTCCAAACGGCATTGGGTGGGTTGGTGCAAAGGTGATTTAGAGTACGGAAATGATATCGTGTCTGTTCGAAGGTACGGAGGACGCGCAAAGCGCACCTGATAGACTAACGGTTGCTGTTACCCCCTTCGGTTTGTGCTTTGCACCTTCCGCGTGCAAACTAGTGGATCGCTTTTCTTAGTTGTGACCAATGACGGTAGTGCATCACAGGAGATAACCGCACGCATTACCAAGGCTCGGATGGCGTTTGCATGAGTGAAATACTTGAGTCGTTGACTGGACGCTTCACTGAAAATGAAAGATCTTGCAACTTGTGCTACCTTTCGCTCGGTTATGCTTGGTGGTTGTGACACGTTGAATTTGCGAGTAGATTACCACCGAGCCAATCATGGAATGTTTTTCTTTTTAATAAAGATTATTGTACCATCATTTGTTTGGCATAGTCTGGCCTCAGACAAATGTGAACTATAATAATAATTACCACCGTCTAAAATTTTTCGCTTATCAGTATTTATTTAGTTTGACTCACGTGAAATGAAGCGAACGGGTTACCAATCGTCGTGTTTAGCATTGATCAGGGATAAATATTCCAAGGCATTGAAGGCTTCATTGTTCAAGATACTGCCGACGACGACACCATGCACAAAGCGAGTAGAGTAAGTGACTCATCACTCGAGTTGGGGTCCAAAAGATTCCGTAACCGAATAGTTGGGGACGCCGAAGGTTATAGCAGCGAACCGATAGCAGTGCTGTCACTTCTTATCAGGTTGGAATGCTAGAAAGCGTGTGTATGCACAGTTGGACCGTGCTGAGCATAGGGGTTCGCATTCTTTGTCTCGTACCTGAAAATATGCTTAGTCTCTATTGCGAGTTTGGCAGCGATCAGTGGGGTTCGCGTCGCTGTTTTTTACTCTAACGTTAACGCTTCGGTTTTTCAAATATTACACACGAAGTGAATGACAGCAAAAGGGATAAACACCATAATCAATAACATGCTATAAGGGGAAGGTATGCGGGGGAACACTCATGTGATAATCAATTTGTTAATCCCGCTTTTGAAAAGTAACATTATAAGTGCTTGAAAACACTTACATAGGAAGAGTGTTCGACAATTTCTCAGTCCTCAGGAAAGGTAGGAGTCCGAGATCTGGGGACAGAAACATGATAAAGGTGACTACCCGCCTCAGAAAGAGATGGACAAGAAAAGATCAATAGAGGAGGGACCGCTGGAACGAGTTTGGAAGCGCAGAAAACAATAGTAACGATGGAAAAGAGAACGAAGCAGTTTTCTGGCGATGGGAAAGCTACTACAGATTGAAGTTGAAGACGGATGGCCTTACGTTAAATGCGGTCGAGAGGAAAGAGCGGGATACGAAGCGTGACTGTAGTAATCGAGCACCGGGCGGATTTGAGCTTTGTATAAAAGGTGCTTTGGTGTAGAGAAACACTGCGCGGGATAAGAAACCGACTTTGCGCCCCATCGCGAGAGGAAATTAAAGCGGATCAATAGGGAGAAGAATTTGTGGGACGAAGGGGCATCAACTCTAATCAATTGAGGAGAATAAGGGGCATGTTTAAGAGACGGATACAGTGTTGGGAGTGGCTGTCTAGGGTGTCGACTGGTCACCCTTCTCTTGCACCTCACGAAATGCTCCCATAAGACCAAGCGTCTCAAATAGCCTCTACCGAGGAAACCCTTCTCACTGCCTTCTCGTGGCGGTGTTTTCTCACCAAAGTGAGAGCACGAATAGTCGACATCCGGGTCGGTGAACTACTGGCAGTTTACCTAGGGGAGTTGACTAAAAACCCTGAATCCAAACCAACCAAGAAGAGACGTACGAATCACAACTTCCCGGTTGTGGCACTGGTCCCTCTGCTCAATTGGGCATTGAGGTGTATTGGGCACCTTGAACGTTTGACCCCGTCCAAAG